CAGGTACATGGACAAATACAATTATCATTAGGAAACCGTCCGTGAGACAGAAGTCCGTCTAAGAAAGAAACTGCTGTATGGGGGAGAGCCAAGAAAATTTCTGTTTTGGAGAGATCATTATTGAGTCACCGTGTTGTACGGAGAGTGTCGACTGGCAATGTGATCAAGAGATATTCAAGTTCGTTACGCTATTATAAGGATTGCGTTACTCTTGACTGTTACGGTTCGACAACTGTCACTTTGTCACATGACCAATGCAAGTTTACAATTTTTGTCTGAAGTTTCGCTGTCACCGCCGCGTGCTGCATTGGAGCAACAGTTGTTCCTCTGTTAGAATATGAGTGAAAAAAGCATTGAAAAAGGAAGTAACCCAAACAATCAAGTTTTTAAAGACGCTGAAAATCAAATTAAAGAGGTCTGTGAGGTATTGCAAAGAGAAGCAACAAGACTTCGTCAGGAGCAAGAAGCAATCGACGCCATGTCGAAGAAAATAGACCATGTCCACCTTTCTTCGACGATAAACCTCAATGTTGGCGGCCGCCGTTTCACGACAAGTCTTCAGACGTTGACTAAAGATCCAGACTCGATGTTAGCTGCCATGTTCTCCGGGAAGTTCGAGGTGAAACCTTCCGAAGACGGAGCTTTCTTTATCGACCGAGATGGGGAACACTTCCGGTTTATACTCAACTATCTCCGCGATGGAGAGCTGATTATACCAGAGGATGCTAAATTTCTCAAGGAACTCGAAGCCGAGGCAAAATTCTACCAGATCCAAGGGTTACTGGAGGAGCTGAAGTATAAAGGGCTGAAATGTTTTGAAGAGTCAGTGATACTGACGAATGTAAGGCACCGAAGCACGCTTAACGGTTGGTTGCCTCAACCCGGTAAATGGCAACTTCTTTTACGAGGTTTTCGAGATGGTTTCACAGCTCATGCCTTTCATTCCAAATGTGATAACAAAGGACCCACAGTTACCATCGTCAAAAGTGGAGACAACATATTTGGAGGCTTCACGGAAAATTCGTGGAACAGTAAGTAAATAGCTCAATTCTGCAACTGGGAGGATGTATGGATGTATGTGTGGTGGGGGTGGGGAGGGAAGGGAAGGAAGCAGTATTCGAATCTCGCTTTGACATCATCGCCTCTTAAAATTTGCTCCCATGTTATCATGGCGATTCTGGAAAACTGCTTAAGGAATTTAGATGTGAACGTTATTCCAGTAACATTTTTCTGTCTCTTTTCTAAAACAGGTCAGAATCAGTACCTGCTCTGTTCACAGTCATTCTTGTTCACCATGGTGAATCCACAGGGAGTTGATCCGATTAAAATGCCACTCGCCAAAGATCACCAGTATGCCATTTACTGTAACAGCTGCCATGGACCAACATTTGGTAGAGGGCATGACTTACAGGTATCAAACAACGCAAACAAAAGTGGTTCAAGTTACAGTAATCTCGGCAACTCCTATCAGCTTCCCACCGAACAGCAGAACACATTCTTCACGGGAGCTCGAAATTTTGGTGTGACAGACTACGAAGTGTTTGGAATCTACCAGTGACAACTGTCAAAAGCATTTGAAAAGCCAACAGGTTAACCTTCACAATGATTTGAACGATCTTCTCGGTTATAACTTTTTAGAAGGTTTATTTCTATTTTAATTTCTACATCAGAAGTATTCTATTCTTCTGTCCGCAGCTAAGCAAAAAACAGCTACCTCTAACTCTAGCTGAAACAGCAACCTCTAAATCCGTACATTATCAATTGGTATCATAGTTTCCTCTATGCAAGACAACAACGTGTTGTTAGTTATAATTTTTTAGGACAGTGGAAATCTGTCAATAGAGGAACCACACAAGGTAGAGTAAGCGGACCGTATCTTTTTAATAATATCAATAATAATAATAATAATCAACTTTATTTAAAGAGGGTAAAACACATAACAGTATAAAACTGACAAACCAGTGCATGGCCCTCTTAAAATATATTACAAATAATTATTAAAAAAGACTAAAAACTAATTAATTATGGAAAAAGTTCAAGAGCTAAAAATCTAAAATTACAAAGTTTATAAAAACTATAAGATAAAATGTTCTAATCGTTTATAACTATTCTTAAAAAAATCTAACATGGCCTTCTTAAAACATTTGATAGTAGGTTTCATTCCTATGTCCAGTGGTAAGGTATTCCAGAGGCATGAGGTCGATACTGTGAAAGACCTACCTCCCTCTGACTCCCGTTTGAATCGGGGACAGACGAGGTTTAGTTGTCCATGTCTGCTTGATCTTTCATTTATGTCTGCATTTCTTACGAGCATTTGGGACATATAAGGTGGACAGTCCCCAGACAATCGTTTGTACACCATTAGTGACCTATTTACTTTTGCCTCATGAAAGAATGGAACCCAATNCTTTGACCGCGTAAACCTTTCTGCCAATGGATTTTACAAGTATGTAAACAACTTTTGCATTTAAGGTGGTAATGTTAGTTTCATCCAACAAGAAGAATTCTCGTTTTTACAAACCTTCAGATCTAGATTATTCCTATGAACCATCCGTTGATTGAGGAGAGATAACCGTTTGATATTGTATCAAACTTGTAATAACCCGCATTACAGGCTTAAATTTGGATCGACCTAACTCTTTTATAACCGTCAGGTATCCTGGTCTAAACTACGATCTCCAGAGCAATTCAGGCCGAGCTTACCCTTACTTTAGTTTCGGAGCCGCCTGCTCTGAAGTGGAAGTCGACTGTCTGACAGGCGATCATCAGGTACGTAGCTATAGACCACAGATCTACTGGCAAAAGACTGGTTGAAGTACGCAAAAGGTTTAGATCAATAGGATAAACACTCACAAATAGTCTGAAAACTCTCCAAATAGTCTGAGTGGTCTTTGTGTTCTTTTGATTGTTTTGATCTCCCCTTTAAAAACCAACGTGAAACCTTAATCAAACGAACTAGAACCGAGAAGTGATGCGAGTTATTAGTCAACGCAAAATGCTGAGTGGTCAGTCTAAGCCTTTGATGGAACAATTCACCCATAAATAAAGTTCCTTCGCGAAAATTGATCAGGTTGACAGTCATGCAAACAATCTTGACCTCACCAACGGCGGTTTTAAACACCAATTGTTCCCTTTTTGAATCTGACCGCATATTGGATCGTAGGGATTGTGTAAAAGTACAGCTGGAAGGGGTCGAAATAATTTTAGTGGCTGGGTTTTGGTCACTCAAGTTGGATGAACATCTGCGCAATATGCCACTAGATCCTCGTTTGAAGCAATTTGACAAGTATTTCACAGCATTTGCTGCACTAGGCTGCCACTATTTTTTGTGGATTTTTGTCACAGATTCTTCGCACAGACATTGTCATGGATGTTGGAAACAGCATCAATCCAGCTATAGACATTGGACAGGTCAGTTATGTCTTTGTGCCCACCTTCTTTGGATGTGATATTCGAGAAAACTTTTGAGGGAGCTCTCTTTGATTGTAAATAAACTTGGGCAAATGAGAAGAATTTGAGCTGTAACCCTGTCAAACCAGCAAAAGGCTTTTCACCAGCTGTCACGTCGATATAGGGACCCTATGCAGCAACGAAGGAGAAACCAAGGAAGGCTTCCATTCAAAAAAGGACACACCCTATGGCATGTTATCACGTTTATATTCGGTGTTGCTTTCTTTTTATTGTCGGGAAATCCAGTCTTTTTTTGTGCCATTTACTGCTGACTGACGATAACAGCTTGATTTCACCCTGACGTTTCAGATTGAAGGTGCCTTCTTACAAGGACTGGGGATGTTTACCCTGGAGGAGTTGAGATTCTCTCGGAATGGTGTCCCCTTGACGACAGGGCCCAGGACCTACAAAATTCCAGGAATTGCAGATATACCACTGGAATTTAATGTTCATCTTTTGCGAAATGCCCCAAATGAACACGCCATCTGCTGTTCTAAGGTTTGAAACGACAAGAAATATTTCATATTAGTACTGATGTCGGGGAGTGTGTGTCAATAAAATTTGGGAAAACACTTTTCATTGAGTCCAAGAGTTGTATGTGGCTTAAGATTGTCGCTAAAGTCATAGTTAGTAGAGGGGACAGGTTAGGAAACCCGGAAAACTTCAAAGGGGTAACTTATTGTTATGGTTTTAGTGTGATCACGTGGTTATGACCGTGCACACGCTTTCAAGATGGCGGCTGTCTTTCGAGAAGCGTGACTTTATCAAGGACAAATTTTAAAGTATTTTATGCTTCAAACGTAGTTTAATCAAGAATTTCCAAGAGATATGTAGTTTGACTATTTATAAATCATCATGCCGGGAGATAACTGTTCGGTTTTTGGTTGTGGAACCTCAAGAAGGACGAAAGGTGTTGGTATCTGGAAACTGCCTGCACCGAAAGACGAGGGCCATCGTAAATGGAGAGATGCTTGGCTCAGCGAGATTACCAAGACAAGAACAGTTGATGCAGTATTCCGAAAAAAGATCCAAAACGATACTATATACACCTGCGAAAAGCACTTTCACCCTCAAGATGTTGAAATATGTAAGTAAAGTTGATTTTGTTTTACGTTCCTTGTGTGTTGAACTATTTCACTTTGAAGTGGGCATATTCACTTGTACCCTCATTTATGTTATATTTTTCCAACGTGGAATAACTAAAATGACCTTCTGTCTTTCTCTATAGTTCAATCCGAAAAGATGATCAAGAAAAAACCACGATTTGGAGCGCTGCCATTATTAAACATGCCGAAGCGAAGCCACGAAACGAATAAACCTGTACCTCGACCTGCTCGAAGCGTGGTAACTACAGAAAGCGCGAAACCTGTGAAATCAGCTTTTTATAAAACCTTTGGCGATTTGTGCAAGAGAGTACCAAGTTTAAAGAGCCTCAACGAGTGGAATATTCAGACATCCAAGGATAGACTGGTCATTACAAAGATGAAAGACAACCTTCTTCTCCCAGAAAAGGAACTTATTGTTGACGACAGCCTGGGGTTCACAATCAAGGTATTTGGGTGCTTTCTTCCAGAAACTCACGATATTTACATCAAGCATCTAAGATCGCTGAATGTCCCAGTCAGTAACATTGTGAAGGAAATGGACAGCTACTCTCTTTGTGCTGGAATAGGAAGCCCTTGTAGTGGAAGTCAGATGTCAAGTATTCCAGTTCACCATGTGATACCTATACAAGTAGACCCTTTAGCAATGGACAATCATCAGATGTTTCCACACGAAGAATATTGGAGATCTAATGAGTGTTTATTGATGTGTAAAGAAACAGAAAGATGCAACCAATGTGAAAGTTATCTTTCTTCATACCAGAAGCAAAAAGAAATCAAGACAAGAAGACTATCTGTACCTGCAAAGCTCAATGCCCCTGTAAGTAAAACAGCACCAGAGAGATTAAAATTATCTCTTCAACAGCAGCGATTGAAATGTGCAGAGCTGGAGCAAGAACTGAACAGTATGAGGAAAGAAATCTCTAAGTCCAGCATTGAAATAGATCATGCTTTAAGTAATGACTTCACCACAATTCTTGGACAATCCAGTGATAAAATGACACCATTCATGAGATTATTTTGGCAACAGCAGCAAAAACTGTTTTCTAGTAGCCCATCTGGTGTGAGATATCACCCCATGTTGATTCGGTTTTGCCTATCACTTGCTGCCAAGTCTCCATCTTGCTATGAGGAATTGCGCAACAGCAAAGTACTTGTTCTTCCAAGCCAACGCAGACTAAGAGACTACAGAAACTGTATTAAGCCAGAAAGGGGCTTCCAGGAAGAAGTGGTAAAGGAACTAATAAGTATGACTTCATCATATTTTGATGTTCAAAGATACGTAGTACTCATGTTTGATGAGATGAAGGTGATGGCCAACCTGGTTTTCGACAAAGTTTCTGGAGACCTTATTGGATACACAGATCTTGGTGATCCAGATGTTAACTTTGCCACCCTGGAAAAGGTTGACCAGATTGCAACTCATGCTTTGGCCTTCTTGGTACGAGGTGTCTGTACAGAGCTAAAGTTCTGCCTTGCACATTTTTCAACCTCTGGTGTGACAGCTGTGCAGTTGATGCCTCTCTTCTGGGATGCTGTTTTCATATTAGAGACTACCTGCAATTTGTGGGTGATTGCAGCAGCATCTGATGGGGCATCTCCTAACAGAAGATTTTATCGCCTGCATGAACCATTGGATGGGGATGCAGGTAAAGATGTGTGTTATCGCACTATTAATTTATTTGCTCCCCATCGGTTTGTGTACTTCTTTTCAGATGC